TTTTGACAGATTTTGCACTGATGCCTAGCAATCCTTTAGACAATTTACAGAATGATGTCCTGTAGTGTGGTGAGGCTAAGCCAGGGCACAGCTGAATCCAATTCAGCTAAATCAGTGTTTCCTAGCAGTTTCCTTAAATAGGGAATTCACATTTCATTTACATGTGCCATACTGAAGTTTGCTACAACCTAGTTTCATGTTGCTAAGATAGGAGACAAAAATAGAGGAAAAAACCACTCTAAAGAGAGCAAAACTAGGAACAGCTTTTCTTCTTAGCTGGCCATACCTAAAATTTATTTTATTTTAGCCAAATGTTTCACAACCAACACTTCAGAAACACACACGAAGGATGGGGCATGATGAATGCTCCGATGCTGCACCCTCGGTCGTCTGCAGGGCTGCGGAATTAGAACTCACTGTCAGGAAAGGATTTTCTTCCTTTAAATGATGGCACTGCTGTTTACTTAGGTTGCATATCAAATAATATCTGCTAGTAGCTGGCTGGTTTTAGCGTGCTCAAGCTATTAATGTGTTGGATGATGCTGGTGTTACTTTGTACCTACATGGAATACAGAACCACCTCTTGTTTTCCTTTGGCAATCGGTCATTCTGAGACACGCATTTTCAACACTATGTTATCTTTGACAGGCAAGAAACACATTGACAATATATTTTTCTCTTGGTTGACAAAGAATTAGTGCTACAGCTCTCATAATTTCATCAGCATTACTGAGACATGCACTTACAAACACGTGCCCACCAATACCCATACTTTGCCATCTTGAAGCACAACTCTACCTCGAAATCTCTGCGCCATAATAGTGTTATTCTTGCTAATAGATATTGTGGCCCTTTAGCAAAAAGAAAGATTATGCTATTTTAAGATCCTGCATGTTATTCTTCAATAATCAAGATCCAGCCATTGAGTTTTCCAGAGCAAAATGTTGTTGCAAAGAACAAGGCACTATTAAGTTGAACATACAGTGAAATTCCATTATTGACAACTATTGGATTATTTTTACAAGCTGTGCTTTTTTACTTTCCCCAGCCACTATCAGATGGTAAAAATTCACTGCTCAAATATCAGCAGAAATTAATTATGTGACTAAAAAATCAAACCAAAACAAACCAACAAATACCAGTCAAACATAATGATCCTTCTGCAACAAACAGGAAAAGTGAAATGCCTCTGTGATTCAGTGATTTGCTTGAACAATGTCTGCCTTCACTTCACCTTTGCTCTACCTTCGGCCACAGATGGCTTTTAGAAATTTTCTCCAGGACTAGACTGCGGCACGCAAGAACAGACATGGAGCTGCAGTGCGTAGGATCATTGTGCATTGATTATAGAATCCACTGGAGCCATGTGGTGGATCTTTTGTAATCAACAGAAAGTCTAAGTTGGAGCATTCCCCACTAAAATGGAAAAGAAACAAAGTATGTGTCTGTAGAGTACTCTGAAAGGGTAAGAATAGAGATGGCGAAAAGTGGGGGTGATCCACTGGTCAGAATAAAATTAGACTTACGTGACATAAATACTGCCCAGTCGATAGACTATCGAAAGAATACAATATCCACCCAAATAAAAAAAGAGGTTAACAAAGTCTGTTCATGTCATTTAGTCACAAACAAACTGCAACTTAGACCACTCCTGCCTCTGATTTCTGACCTTTTCATTAATTAGATAACCTTCAGAATTCTCTTGTATTTAACTTACGGTTTTAATATTCAAAATATAGACTTTGTATCTATATTCAAATTCCCTAATTGCTAATTTTTCTTACGTGGAAACAAAGCGTGCACAGAGCCATCAACAAGCACTTTCACGGCTTGTCTGTGTTCACTGAAGCTGCCTGTTGTAGGCACCTGCACTTCCCTCTTCCCAGCACTTCCTGCTGCAACCCTGACTTGTGTAAGCAGCTAAAGATGCAACAGGGCAGCAATATTTTCATGTTCTCTACAGATACCACCTACAGTGGCATTTACATTTTGAAATTTAAAATAAAAGTAAAATTAAAATAAAATTTCTCTTTAAACTAAGTTTGCTTTTTAAAAGACCCGTCAGAGGAAACACTGAATGGCCTGACTCATTGGTCTAGTTTCTAAGGCTATTAATGAAGCTATAAAGCTGCAAGGTAGCAGCGACAATATTTGATGTACTAACAGGTTCAGCCAACACTGATTTTGTTTTTTTAAGGACAGAGTTGCCATGTGAACATCTAGATGCACTACAGCAAAATCAGCTGTGCTGTAGCACTGGAAATCACAACTGGATGGATTTATGGTACTGCCCTACTGCAGCTACATGAGCTTCATTCGCCTTTTATCTAATTTTATCTCTTGTTCTTTCTGGCAAAGTTTATATTTGTGCAAATCAAGTGCAAACTTTAACAGTTTGGAACAATAACCTATATTTAAAATAGGTTAAAATGATGACAAAGTCTAAGACATAGAAAAATCAGGTTCTAAAGCAGGTATCACTGTTTCACTAGTTTATTCTGTCATGACAAGCGTGAATTAAAATCAGGAGGACTTTGGCATCAAGCTACACTACAGTAATTAGGTAGAATTTTACCAGGTAATGCAACATGTTAAAGAAAATAATTCTAATAATATACTAGCCTGCTGAATGACAACAGGAACCAAAGAGCATTTATATTGCTTTCTTCCACTCATCAATGGAACTAGCTTTAGCATCCTTGTATCTAATTATTGCTTTTTACAATCAATAACATCTACTTCATTAGATAGCATGATCAAGAATAGATCAGAGTTCAAAGATTTCAAAAAGCCTGTATGGTCTCAAAAAATGTAGCTAGAAATAGTTAAAATCAGACATGCATTATTATCCTCATTACTGTAATATTACTATTCAGTCAGTATATTTTGCATTACAACTGCAATATTTACAGAAGTGTTTGGATTAATTATTTCTTCATCAGCCAAGGTTGATAGTTGCAATGAAGAAAAATATAGTGTATCTCTGAAAATCTGTAGAAATGGATGCTGTGTTTCCTGTTGTTTTCTGACTCGGTGAATGTAGTGAAATTTAATCTAAACTCGACTGATATAAAGGAGAAATACACTTCACAGTTTCTTCAGTGATATTTAATCTTACCTGTGGAGTCATAGAAACAAGTTTGACTCTTAGTCCTAGTTCTGAGGTGTCTGGTACAACACAAGTCTCTCCACAGGCTCAATCAGGTCTCTCCGTATTTACTGTGTCACCAGATCATGTCACTGGATCGACAGTAAAAAGATGTAGATCTTCCACTGGTTCATTGTGTTCACACTAGTGAACAGTACAGCTCTCAGAATTACAAAGTCATGGAAATTAGGGCTGGAATGCAGCCCTCTAATTCAGCTTCTCTTTCTCCTCCTCGGTTCAAGTAAGGGTCAGTTAAATCTGTTAATCTTGGTAAATACTTGCCTAGTCTGTGACTCAGGTACCTCAATACAAGGGTAATACAGTATCACCCCACTGGCACTCTGGTAAAAATTACATCTGAAGAGCTGCATTCAAGTAGAGCAGAGATTCTTTAATTTACATCCCTGAGTATGCTACCTCTGTGTTACTTTCATCTCAAAATCACTGGATGGGTACTATTCAGAGCTTGATTCATAATATTTTAGCCACTAAGCTGACACACAGAAAAAAAATGAAAATTCACTGATCAAAGAGCTTCAGTTCTTCCTCTGTCAGGCATCAGTACACAACGTGTCTTTTCACTGCTGACATTATAACGTACCAGCAAACTAGTCTGCACCCTCCTGAAACCAAAGGTGTGGGCTTGCTCTGAATTAAAGCGCTGCCAAAAAGCAGAAATGAACATTAAAAAGTGCATAAATTACATAATGCTCACATAGTCGGTAAAACTTTTTCTTCCCTCACTGATCTGGATCTGGCTTAGACTAACAGTGACTGAAAGCTGTCGGTATCTGGTGGCTACTGCACGATCTCTGTCGTGTTCCCAGTGGGAAAGTGTCTGTATGCCAAAAACATTATTCAAAATTGTATCTTGTTCTTTTACATGTAATTATTCTGCCATAAGCAGTGCAACAGCTGTCGGCCTTATTAACACGCCGGCCAAAGGCTGTCAGGGAAATGCATCTCCCATCTGGAGAACACAACACTCACCTCAATAAGGGCTAAACAAGGTGCCTGCTAGAGGGACACCCTGGAAACTGCAAGGCTCTGCGCCTCAGACCCCCTAAACCCTGCTTTACCACCTTCTTCTTTCTCGAGAATGAGTCTGAACACTCCTGCATTAGGTCTCTGTACTGCAGACCAATTTTCAAGACATTTCAACCTGTATTTTGCACCTATAAGAAACTTCTTCCTGTAAGTCTGTAACAAATTACTGTTTAAAACATAACAAAATGAAACGCATTGGAACATATTTGTGTATTCATCCATGGGTTCAATCTTTACGTGCCTGGCTTTATGGAACATTATTCTTTTCTTGCAAGTTGTAGGACTGCTTTGCTCCCTGTCAGGGCAACACAGTCTGACTGACCTCCTGCCTTCTAGTCCGGGACATCTCTTGATCAGCAGCTGCTGGCAACTCACTCCCACCCTTCCTCTAGAGAGGATTTTGCATAGTTAATTATCCTTTTCATCTCTAAGCTCTGAGAACTTTGTAACTTTTGGTAAGCGATTGCCAAAAGCATCACTTCAATAGTCCAGCCATTGTTCTCCTGAAGTTGTTTACTGAGATCTCTCATTGCTGACCCTGTTGAGCTTCCTGTTTGCTCTTCCTAACAGCTCCTTTGAATTCCACCCCCTTTACTCAGAGAGAATAATGTGAAACAGATAAAGTCCAATATGATTACACCAAACAAAAAAGTTATCTTTTCTTTACTCTCCACGAATGTTCACCAGGACTAAATTCACATATGTAAATTGTGTTGTGTTTAGAGAAGTAATGAGTAACTCCCAGATACAGAACACAATTAACTAAAAGCATTAAACTAAATTTTGCAGAAGCCATCATACTTACACTGTCATTGCTTCCTTTGTTGTCCTCATATTTTGTCTCTATATGAATGGAGAATTTAGGCAAAAATGAACACTGCAACAAAAGAAAAATATGTTTGACACAAAAAATATTCCTTGCTCCGTCAGCTGACATATTCAGTACATCCTGTTTGGTATCAGCTTTCTTTTTTTTTTCATATTACTTCAAGAAATAGAGTAAGTGTACAGAGAACATGAGTGAAGGTTTTTATGATTCTGGAAGGATGCAGAGATTCTGTGTAAAAGCTGAATACTACAATGCAAGTAGAAATAAATTAGTATAAGTACTCTAGAGTAACTCGACACAACAGTTGTCATGCTCACTATGCATAAGAGTACAAACGTCCCGAGTGTCCTGTTACAAATTCAGGTCACTAAGGTCTCGAGAGCAACTAGATACTCATCACCATGGACCAGTCCACCCCTCGCACAAAACAGTACACGGACACTTCACCGCCTGCAGGTGTAACCAAATACGCAACAACGCTTCGACGTGTGAGGGCTTTTTCTGATTTTCAGTGAGAAATGCATTTTAGCATAATTTCCTATTAAAGAAATTAAGGTGGATTATGAGCCGGTTTGGAAATTCCTTTATACTAAATCCAAATCGATCTTTAGATAATAATGCAAGAAAATATTAAGGTGGATTATGAGCCGGTTTGGAAATTCTTTTATACTAAACCCAAATCAATCTTTAGATAATAATGCAAGAAAATTACAAATGCACAAATGTTTTTCTATTAAAGACAATATTTCAGTATTTTACATGGGAATAAATCTATTTTTCTGTGGATTGCTTAATTTAATTGTCTTATCAAGACTAGAATTTTTAATACTAGGCAACAGAATTCCAGTGGAAAAACTATTTCTAACTTAATTTAATTGTCTTATCAAGACTAGAATTTATAATACTAGGCAACAGAATTCGAGTGGAAAAACTATTTCTAATAGCTTTTCTTTAGCATTTCACAGTTGTTCTTTCAAATCAACTTTTCAGACGGGCAGACAGAGTAGCTGTCTAACAGACTCTGACGTTCAGCATCTTTACTATGAGTCATCAAATCTTTTCTTACATCAACTGCCAGTGAAACTGAAGTTCCAGGTCCTTGTATGGTGCATCACAAATGTCCTACGGCAAAGTGTCTTTATAAAGACTCTGACTCTTTCCTGGGCTGTACATGCAGATTATACAACGAGGATATTATGATGCCTCAGTGTTCACATTGTTGTTGGTCCAAGTTTGAACTTGATAAAAGTCGGAATGTTCTTCTAAGGGAGAGGCTGATGACTAAGAAAAGAGGTGCTTTACAAGGCCAGCTGTAGAGCAACAAAATTGAAATGAGGAGCTAGTTCCTTTGAGACTACAGAAAATATATTCCTGATTCCATGGGTATCACCCAACAAATCATTGTCCAACCTTCTTGTGATCACAGGATATCTAGTGTTCGATGAGCACACCTAGAATCAATCCTTGCCGAAAAAAAAGAGTGAGAGAGTTTTGCCAGAATAAGGTTCTGGTGCCATGGAAGGCTTCTGGTCAAACTGTCTTCCCACTAGCATAACAAAACGCTCCATGTAACATGGTGGTGCTGCAGATGCCCAGATCGCACAGGCTTCTCTTCGGATCTTATAAGTGTTTTGCCTTTTATTAAAGATTTCTGTGAGCGGCACATTTCTGAGTTTCAACCCAACCTGAACTGTGCCTAGCTCTGAGCTATGCAACGTGTTCACTGAGTGAATATGTGGGAGGGGAAAAAAAGAGAAAGCAAAAAAATCAGCAGTACGTGGCATGCAGGATGGGGCAAGTTCAGCGACAGATCTGCTAGCTCCTATTACCCATATTTTGTGGGCAATTAAACATTTCCCATATATACATCTCAGGAAGCGTCAGCTGGAAATATGCAAAGTTTATAAGCAATCTGCCAGAACTGGGGATCTTGCAACATAAATTAACACCAAAAAAATCCAGCTATCCTCCCAATTGAGGTTTCACCGTGTATCTCAGTATGTTGTTCCTAGTCTGGCAGGCATCCAAAGGCATCTGCAAACAAAAGCCTTAGCAAACAGTAGGCACTACAGGGAAAGAAGACTCGTATTCAAACAGCATAAACCAACATTCTAGCTGTTTTCCGTGTTTGCGGGAGAACATGGAAGGTTGAAAAGTAAATTACTACTGGAGGTGGATTATGAAAAGCAGATTTCAAAAAAAATGTATAACCTAATGACAGACACCATCTACTGCACAGTTTTTAGAGCATTTGGAAAAGAACTACATTGGTTCTAGAGTGGTAAAAACATGGGTTATTGATCTCAAAAATTTAGTATGTGGCAGCCTTGAATTTTACAAAGATGCATAACTACAAGGGTCACAGTCCAGGTGTGCAGAGCTCTTGCTGACAACAACTTAGACCTCTGCATATGGGCATCCTGTGGGAAAGCGTCCTTGAGGAAACGAGAGGAGACTGCCAAGGAATATTTTGTTTTATCAGCAGTTACTGGTACTGCTGACTGAACACAGTTACTGGTACTGCACTACCGAGGGCTCAATGCTTAGGTCTGAATAGCAGCTTTTAGAAACAATTTCACTGAAAATGGCAGAGATGTGTGCCACACTATTTGCGATATACTAATTGTTTAGAACAGTTATTAGGAAAATACAGCTTACTGGCATCGTGTCTGCATATTTCAAGGTTACTGCTCTAGGCCATATTTTACTTACACGTTAGTGTGCGTTTAAGCATCTGCACTCTTGATTTGTGAATGAAAATTTAATTCTCTTTGCTGCACAATTAAACAAAATCAACACCCTCTAAATAAAATCTAGTAATCGATAAAAACGCAAAACAGAGTAACATCAATGATCTATCACTAGCGGAAGGATCATCAAGATTGTGATGCTTGAGCAAATTGGGTATCTAGGTCAGAGCTTTGTGAGTTTGCAAACTTTCAAGTTCTACAGCCTGAGTCCAGTGGTTTGTCAGCAACCCCAGTGGCTATGGAAACTGCTCTGACTATGCTGACCCTAACGGCTCCGGGCAGTGCAGTTCTCTCAGCTCCTTTGAGAAGTAGCAGGGTCCACCACTGGACTTGGTGCTGCTTTCATGGTCTCACTGTCAGCTTTGAAAACTCCATTGACAGAAGGAACTTCATTTTAGCATCTTCCACCTTCACGGCTAATACAAAACTAACACCCTTACCAAAATAGTTCCTCATCTCTGGTTCTGATTAGAGTATCTTTGCTTATGATCTAACTACAGAAATTCAGGAGTTGTTGGATGGAGAACATTTTTCAATACTCAAAAACATTATCGTTTATCAAAATTGCTGCTTTTAGGTCACAGTTCCAGGTACAGTGGAGGATAAAAATGCAAAATATGAAAAACTTTCGTGCTGTTGATTTGAAGTACAGCCACAGTTTCAGAGGAAATTCTGAATAAAGCCAAATGCCAGATTTCCCTTTTACCTTGCAATCAAAAAACACCTACTATTTTCAGTCATCGTCCCGAGTTTATCAGCAATGAGTCTGATCACGGTACTTTGAAGTGCAGCCACTTCATGTGTTCAACTTAAGGCCGCACTAGGCTGCCTGTAGCAGGTCAGCAAGTCACTGCTTGAATCCAGTTGTTTCCTGTGACCCAGAATCTAAAATCTAATTTGAAAAAGAGATCTTCTAGTCTTGTATTTAAAAAAAAAATATTAGGAAAAGACTAAGGATCTTCAGAGTATTATGGAAAAGAATCATAAATGTCATTTACCTCAAGCCACCTCATTAGAGAGCAGAAAGCAATTTACTGCACAAAGCTATCAAAAGTCAACTTCCCTGCGCATTTAGTGTAACTGCGAGGACTATAACAATCTAATTTGAGATTATAAATGGTAACATGAATTCACCCCACATGAAAACTAAAATTAACCCAAAAGGACTTCATTGCAAATATGCATCTCAGAAACTCAACTGACTGGCAACCACTGGCAGCTGTGGGGGGTCTCGCTGGGTTTCAGGAACACTTAGCAGGGTCCAAATTTTTGAACATTTCACAGAATGTGTCTCATGATTCATCAGCTGCACTCTGACTAATTGGCAGAGGGCTCTGGCAGAACCAGAAAACTGTTCGTGCATCATTCAAAAGACTTTATTATTCATCATGAAAAAGTTGTTGGGTTTTTTTTTCCCCTCAAGTGGCTGCATATTTACTTAGCCAGGGATTAAAAGTGTTATGCAACAGTCAGAATCAAACTTGGGAGTGAACAGTAGGTAATAAGCCTTTTAGTAGATTTTTTTTTTCCCCCTTCAAAGCACCACTCCCTTTCTGCTCTGCCTCCCCCGGCGCGTGTGTTCTTCCAGCACAAACCTGGCAGCCGATCGATACACTGAGCACACACAGGAATGCACAGGGCACAGTTTCCAATTTTCCATTTCACTATCTCTACAGCTTGCAAGGTTCCTCTTTGAAAAAAATGGTGGCAAATTGAATGCTTCACTTGAAATTAGACTTAAATTCTGCATAATTAGGACAAAATCTTCAGAGTCCTAGTGTCTTCAGTGATAAGGTTTCTTTGTGTAAAGCTCTCAAAGTAGGCGTCTTTTATATTGTCACCTCCAGATTTTTTAGAGGTATTGTAAAGTCCTTAAAAATTTGTTATAATCCAGTACACATGTGACACTCAAAAACCAATAAGGAGAATACTCTGGGTTTTTTGTTTATTTTCTTAAACTTTCTGTATTTGGCATCCCTTTTGGAAGAACCAGGAGAGGTTTAAGGCTCAAGAGAGTAACTGGTGAAATAACCAGAGTCTGTAAGTGTGACCGCCACACACAAGCATGGGTATTTCCAGATTAAAATCAAGCCAAATGAAAGCAGCACACGGAAAACACAGACCGCAGTTGCATTTTCAATTCACTACAGATAACCTCTTGAAAAATGAAAGGCCTATTTTTAGCATGATGATTGATTAGTGTTGCCATAGCAATAAGCAACACTTACAAGAACAGGGTAGAACCTAAGTGTGCCAAAACACTTGCCAAAGTCTTAAAGAGACAGTCAGGCACATATG